ACCCAGGCATGTGCCCCGACTGGGAATCAAACCTGTGACCCTTTGATTTGTAGGCCAGCACTCAATCCACCGAGCCACACCAGCCAAAACAAAGTTATTTTGTTCTTATTTGTTCGATCCTGGCTTTTCTCTTTTATATTAGAGGTGATTCTAGTGTTTGATGATTCTTGTCTTTTCAAAGCTCCCAAATGTTACTAGAAGTTCTGTATGCATTTGTAAGGGTTTATTGACTAGTATACTTCTCAGTGGGTAGACTAGACAGGGATTTCATTGGGAGACCCCAATTGTTACTATACAAAATTCTTTCTTTTTAGATTTCCTGGATATTAATATATATGGTAAGCCTGGTTGTCTGTTCTGGGAAGTGACTGAGTGAAGTGGACTAGGCGGTCTCACCCTTTAGTATACATACTTTCATTCTAGCCTTATCCCATACTCTGCTGATGTGTATCCTTAGATCCAAAGCCTCTCACATTTTATTCTTCTCGAGTATAAATCTTTGATATCCTGCTGTGGGTGGGGCAGCTTGGGGTTTAAGGAGGATATCTGAGCATCTATCTGATGCCTTTACAAACATTCAGACAGCCCTGTTTTCAAATCCTCTCTTCTCTTCCTCTCTCAGAGGTATCTGGTGTGTCTAGTTCCTGAGCCTTTCCAGTGTCACGGCACATAAGTGAGTTTGCTCCTCGTGGGGTTTCACCCCACTGCCCCACTCCCCCACTCCCCAGTGGCATTAGGTTTCACCGTCCGATAGTCTGCTGATTGCCTCTCACCCCTACGTTGTTTTCCATTTTCCAACATGCAGCTGGCATCTTGTTCACCTAGTTACAACCCCTTGCTTCTTTTCTTTTCCTTATGAATTTATTCACTTTTTATTAATTGACCATCATTTTACTGCTTTGGGATGAAGTAGAGATAAACATATATATTCAATTCTTCCTGTTTAACAAAAGTATTCCTTTCTATTTTTAATATCTTTTATTTTTATTAGATGGCCTATAGGAACTGGTAGAATTTAAAACTTCTGCCCCTTTGTTTTCTTTATCTATAGTCTTCCGACAACAAAAATATTGAGTTCTCTGTACTGGCTTTCCTTTGGTAGTTACACATGAGCTGTTTTTGTGGGTTTTTAAAAAATTTGCTGCATTCTTTTTCTGGATGACAATGAGGCCCACAGCAGCAGGGCCACGCTGTCCTGCAGGGCTCACATGGAGCTAGGAGGAAGGCAAACGGGCCACAAAAAGCATGCGATCTGTCTTAACCTGGTTTTAAATGATAATGTCCTATTCTCTAACACACTATGTTTCTTTTCTGACTTCCCTCTTTATTCCCTAATGTTATAATTTTTATGTGTGTGTCTGCTCTGTCTGAGGAGTTTTCAGGGGGCCCCCCTCTTCACATTTACATTTCCCATACAGTTTTATTTTCCATTTTCTCTCTTATTGACCTGTGCCTTTTGTTGCTTCACCTCTGACCCTTGTTTCTGTGGCTGCTCTCCAATAATCCCCACTCCACACAGGCATGCCCATTTTGCCCTTTCGAGGCTGGGGCCTTCCTCCTGCCCTTGAGAACTTTCCTCACACAATAAAAAACAAAGTCCACCCATTCTCTGCTCTCTTGAACAAGAGCTGGACTTTCCTCTCCTTAATTAGCTTTCTTATTAATTTATCTTCATTCTAATGAGAATTTGTTCTCCACTTAAATGTGGCTTTTCTTCTCCAGAACCTGAGAAATTTCAAGTGTCTGGAATGCATGGTCAAAACAGTAGTGCTTTTCACTTTGAATGCTGCAAACTCAATTCTTTCTGACCTGTAACTCCTATGCTTTTATGGGCTCATTTCCTACTTTTATAAGAAATTCTGGACTTTGGCATGCTTAACCAGAGAAGAAGCCTTAATTATTTACTCCTACTATTTAGTTATAATTATTTAACTTCTAATGGAAAATCTAGCCAACCCTCCCCTCTCTTCACCCCAGCAAAAGGAAATCTGCCCCCTGGCATATCCTTGGGTAACTTTCCCTGTGAGATGATCCCTGTCTACTCCCCTGTAAGGATCCATAATCATTCATATACCATCTTGGTGTCCTGTATCTTTCAAAAGCCTACTTTAAAAATCGAAAATGGCATCTTTATGTGACTTCCTTTTACAACTAATGAGCAGGAAGAGCTCCAAACGTAGCTCCCTTTGCCTGAAAATGACATTCGCTCTTCATTTTCAGTCTGGTTTTGCTTGCGAAAATTACCTCCAGAGGCCCTGAGACTGGCAGTCCTAAAGCGGCTCTGTGTCCCTACCCTCTTGCTATTCACACTCATGTGCAATCCCTCACTTTGACTGTGGCTGGGCTTATTGACTCATTTGTGATGAGCAGAATACAACAGAAGCAATGGGATGTCACCTCCAAAATGAGATTGCAAAAAAACTGTGGCTTCTATTTTGGGCACTCTCTTTTTCACACTCTCGTTCTTGCTTATTTGCCTGCTCTGAGTTACGCAGCCAGCTGCCATGTGGTGGGCTGTTCTGTGGAGAGGTCCATGCTGTAAGGAACTGAGGAAGGCCGCTGACCTCCAGCAAGGTGCTGAGGCTCTGAGCCCAAGAGCCCATGAGGAAGTAAATCCTGCTAGCAACCACAGAGTGAGCCTGGAATCCAATGCTCCACCAGCTGAGCCTTTGGATGAGACCGCAGCCCCTGACAACCTGACACCAACCTTATGAAAGGCCCTGGGCCGGAAGCACCCACCTAAGCCACATTCAGATCCTTGACCCACAGTAATGATGAGAAAATAAATGTTTGCTGTTTGAAGCCACTGAATTTGAGGACAATTTATTGTACAACAATGGAAAACTAATACAGGCCCTTAAGGCCAATTTTTTAGCTTCTGTCTATGCTTTATATATGACAGGTTTCTGTTTAGGTCATTCTTTTCTCTCCACGTCAATGTAATTACTCATATAAAACTTTCTTTAAGTTCTTTGAGAACAGCAAGTGACAGTTGTCAGTTATATTCATATCTAGTGCCCAGCACAGATGCCCAGCACCTGCACAGATGCCCAACATACATTTTCAGAATTTGACCCTTCTGTCTTTTTCTACGTGTCCTAGTTTATAAGTTACTCCTCACTTTCCATATTGTCATTTCTCTGGGGATTTAAAAGTCAGAAAACCTGCTGGTCTCACTGCCTTGGCCTTTCCCTCCATTAACCTTCTATATCCCCTCTAGAACATCAATGCTGCTGTCTCGCTTGAAGCAAAACTGAGTCACCTCTGTCCTTCTCAGGGTTTCTGCAGCACAGGTGTGCTGTCCCCTCCCACTCTGGCCGGCACTGACCAGGCGGCTCCCTTACCAGGAACACTGTGCTGCTGTGCTCCAGCAGGAGACACTCGGTCATCTGACCCCCTAACCATCTGGCAGAATACTTATTGTTACTTTATAGTAAAAAATAGATAAATAAATGAGGCCTAAGATAAACAGATGAGTGCTAAGCCTGGGGGTCACGTGAAACTTGGAGCCACTGTAACTCAGGTTTCCTGAAAGAGGAAACGTTGCTGTCATGGAGATGCAGCTTTGAGTCTCGGCCCCACCATGCTGTGGGGCCTTCTGGAAGTTATTCGACCTTCCAGAGTCAGTTCCTCCCCTGTAACGTGGAAGCATTTCTACTTTACAGGGTTGTTAAGGCATTGCTGTTGATCCAGTATTCTGTCCATGACCACTTTAACTTAATTTATAACTCTTTTGCATTAATAGGTTCGGTTCATAATTATAATGCTGGCATACACTTTTTATTCTGCTTGATAATTTAAATATAGCAAGAACACAGTATATTTAATTATTAATAGCCAATATTATGACTAGCACTTTCTTTTTATTCCTTTATTAAGATGCCCATAAAACCAACAAAAGATGACTTGTTATTAACATTCAGAATCTTCCTCCATTTGCCTTTATTTGCTATTCTCTCATGAATGGGATCAAATATTCCCATGTGACATAACTTGGGTGATCACAGAGCAGATTAATTGCTCTACTGTCTTAGTTCAAGTTGCTACAACAAAGTACTGTACACTGGGTGGCTCAAACAACAAACCAAATTTATTTCTCCCAGATCTAGAGGCCGGGAACTCCATGGTCAAGTCACAAACACATTGGATGTCTGATGCGGGCCTGCTTCCTAGTTCAGGGGCACCCTCCCTCTTTGTCCTGAGGTGGCAGAAAGGGTGAGGGAGCTCTCAAGGATCTCTTGTATAAGGGCACTAAGCCTGTTCTTGAGGGCTCTGCCTTCATGATTAAATACCTCCCAGAGTCCCCACCTGACTTAAATACCTCCTAAAGTCCCTACATCTAAATATCATCACCCTGGGGATTAGGCTTCAGGATTTTTTAGAGGACACAAACAGTCTGTAGCACCCACCATTTCCACACTGCTTAGCAGTATGGAAATAAGACTTTGTTAGAAAGAAATTTTAAATCAAAATATGTCTACTCCAGGTCAAATAAAAACATTGCTAAAATAATCACAAGTATATAAGAAAGAAGACCAGCACATGTAAATTACCTTATAAATTTAGGTTGACAGAAAGATAAATCCCTAAAGAAAAATGATATTTAAGATATATTGTCCAAATATTATTTGAACTAAAGCAGCAAGTCCTCTAAAAGTTTTTTTGGCAAAGATGTCCAAATAAGCAAGACATATAAAGATTACTAGTCTCAGAGTTTCTAAAAGGCCATCTGCAACACAGTAGAACTGGGTGCTGAGAAAACCTTAGAGCTTATGCAGCTCAGTGTATTCATTTCACAGAAAAGGAAGCCAGGTCCAGAAAGGTTAAGTGACCGCCTCGTTAAAGACAAAACCAGGATATGATCCCAGGCCCCTGATGAACAGTCCAGAACATTTCGCATGACACCAAGCTGCCTTTCACATTTTCATTCGTTTGTTTTCTGAAAGAGCATCTGCAGCGGTGCCGCCTGTAACAGCAGCGGTGCCACCGTCCCATCCTACCTCTTCCTGGGACTGCTCGAACTGCTGCCTCAGCTGGGTTTGTGCCAGCAGGATCCTTTCCAGTTCATCTGACTTCTCTTGCATTTCCTTCCTCAAGTCCTCTGAAACAAAATCACTATTGTCAATTTCCTTCTTCAGGCGAGATTCAAATTCTGCAACCAAATTTTTAAGGTTTTCAATTTCCTTCTCCTTTGACTCAGATTCTTCAGTATATTGGACATGGGATTCATGCAGTTTTTTTTCAAGAGTGGCTACTTCCAGCCTTAAATCTCTAGTAGCGCCTGCGATTAAGTCAGATATCTGTAAGATAAATCTTGCATTAGTTTTTAAGCAATGTCTCTAGGTAACCACAGGGTTCTCATGGTTTTAAAAGGCTTATTCTAAATAATCAGTGTACTCTGCTGACCAGATGAAAACAAATCCAATGACATATGTAGGCCTCCAAAATTTTCTTTTTAAAAGCTAAGACTATAATTTTTGTTTTTACCAAGTTAAATGGAATTGCACTCATCACTTGAGCATCCTTGGAAATATATAAATCTCGGTAACTGGGTTAAGTCACCAAGAATAGCTCGAGTTGTGATTAGGTGCCTGTCTGGACTCACTACAGGGCAGCTTTGTGAGTTAAAATGCCTGATGCTTGGGGTGCACACAGAGGAACACAGCAATTATATTTTACTCATACCATACCCATACGTTTTCCTTTGATAATTTTTCTTTCTTGTACATAATGACTGGAGGTACCTCAGGTACTATACCTTGCAGAGCAGTGCGCCCGACAGAACTTTCTGTGATGATAGCAGCATTCTGTGATGTCCAGCATAGTATGGACACAATAGACACCACACCTGGCTACTGACAGTGGTGCGCTGGTGCGTGTTTAACAACCGACTCCCACACACACACAAGCCATGTCTGCGTCTGATCTCCGCAGCATAAATACTCTCACCATAACCAACTCCAAGCTAGCAAGGTGACATGAGTGATCACTGAGTTGGGAAGGGACGTGCACACAGGCTCTCACTTACCAGTACTGGCTAATAAGCATTTGAAATGTGGCTAATGTGACTGAGGAACTGAATGTTTAATTTGATTTCATTTTAATTAATTGAAATTTAAGTAGCTACATGTGGCTACAACATTAGACAGTGCAGTTGTAGAGGATACCAGAATTCTTTAAAATATACAGCTTTTCAAGGCAGTATCTCCCAATAAAGAGGAGAGAGAATAACTTGGGGAAGCTTTGCCTCATAGTAATAAAAGTCTTTAGAAGGGAAAATGCTTTTTTCTCTCTTCCTAAAAAATAAAACGAAGCAGGAAGAGCAAAGCTGCTTCTGATAAAACATATCCTTATTATTTATGCCACAGATATTGTCATGTAACAAATATTAGTATAACAAGAAACCAACCCATGGAGAACCTGGAAAACATTCAGAGACCAAAGTTCTACGGAGTTTGTGAACTATTACTTAAGAATTAAATATCCAAAATTTGTTCCAAATGTTAAACTTATATTAAGAATAACTTTTATAAGAAATCTATCTACTACACTTAGCGATTATATAAATTGAATTCAGATTCCATTATCTTCAATTAACCCAGGAAGGAAGAGGTCTAGACAGGAGCTCCCATCACCCCGAGGAGACGTGACACTGAATAGAGCAGGCCGTCCTCGGGAGAGGAGGCTCACATAGCCACAAGTACGTTTAGATTTTTAAAAAAGGGAGTCAACATTTAAAAATCAAGTGTTTACTTACGAAACCTAGACTTATGACTTCCTTTGAAAAACTGTGACCCCTGGCAAGTTGGGGCTTGCCTTCTGGCAGTCCCCTGCAGATGGGGCACTGGGACATCCAGGGCCCTGGGACAGCAGTTCTGAGGTGAGGGGAGGACAGGAGAACATGCCAAGAGGAGCCAGGGGTGGCATGGGGGGTGGAGCTAAGAGAGAACCTGCCCAGGGTGGGCAGGACCTGAGGGGAGTGCAGGTTCCTGGTTCCCCCATGTGTTCCATCGTCTCAATAGGATTTCACTTATAATATAAAACAGGAATTGAAAGATAAAATTATTAAGAATTTCAAAACAGCATTTGCAGAGTATTAAGCCCAAAATATAAGGCCCTTCTGAGCGCAGGGCCCTGTGATACTGCATTTGCCGCACCCTCATGTAGCTGGCCTGCCTCATGTTCACAGTGAGCTGCTGAAAATGCTGGACCATGTCCCTGGCACACCAGAGCAGAGGCCAGTAAGTCTCATCTGATACTGAATTTACACAGACTGTTAATAATTTTATTCAAAATAGGGGTTTCCCCATTGCACCTTGGTTAACACACACACCACACACACACATACATATACAAACACATGCATATTACCACACTCAGGCCTTATAAGAACAGGGGAACCTTAACAAAATCTTATGTTTTGGACACAATTTTCAGAAATTAGTGAGGGGGTTACAATTAAAAAATATTTTTTTAAAGGCGGGACAGCTGTAACTGAACAATAATAAAAATAAATAAATAACTACAATAAAAAGGAAGCAAAACTATTTAGAATTGAAAATATCATTAAAGAAGATAGGCTTTAGTTGTTGGAAAGTTTTTGATTATATAAAACACCTCATTATCTTTTGATGTTGCATATTTTATGTGTTGGACTATCGAGTCATGCTAGTTATTAGTTACATAATTTATGTTTTTTTAAAAATAAGTTTATTTTTATTAAAAATTCTATACACAGCTGGGTTTCAGGCTTGTATAGCTAATATCAGTTATTCACTCTGGAGAATATGCAAACTGTTCTTCCTATGGGGCTAAGCCCAAGGCCCAGCAACCAGAGTTGTAGATACTGTCATGTTCTTAGGCGGAACAACCAGCATCTGTAGTTTCAAACCCATTACATGAGATTGATAATTATAATGACAGACCTTCATTTGTAGCTCCTCTTGTTCTTTCTTATATTTTTGGATTATTTCTTGGTGTTTTTCCTTTTCAATATCAAGTTCCAGTTTAGCTTCTTCTTTAAAGAGAAGAGCTTGCTCCTCAAATTCAAGTAAATGTTGGGCTCTTTCCTTGGTGAGTTCAGCTTCAATCTAGAAAACAGAATTTAACACACACCTAAAGGCACTTAAAATCAGTAAATGAAAGTTGTTTCCAGACTCTAATATTTTTTAAAATTCTAATAGTAATTTTAAAATTAATCTAATTTTATATTTTTAAGTTCTAATATATTTATTTTTAATTTGACCGAGAACTTAAGACCAGAAATATTGACCTTGGGTCAAATATTTCAAGATCTTCTAAGACCTGAAAAATGAGTAGAGACTTTAAGATGTTATAACAGTTCTGAGAAATACTAAAAGCTTTGTCTTCTATAAACTCAGTCCTTGCCAGCAATCCTCCCACCCCCAAGAAAAGACTTTGAGGCCCTTAGACTAAGTTCTGCTGAGAGCTCAAAGGGAATACAAAGTAGAGAAGTTGGATTTTTAATGGTCCTTTCTTGATGGAGACCATAGGAATTGCTGGAGTCACAGATGATCATTTTAATGTGATTGAGGACAGAAAGTTGATCAAGAAAAACATGTGGATGCCTATATTCATATTTTGACTCAGATAGAATCACAGTGCTGGAAGGGACCTTGGAAATCCCTTAGTGCAATTTCTCAAGCTTCCATGAATTGTGGAAAGAATAAACAAGGACTTTGGATTTAGATGAAGTGGAATTTAAATCCTGGTTCTGACACCTTCTACTTGTGTGATGTTAAATTGCGATCATGACTTCTACTGGTGGGGTTGTAACTAGTTCCCCTGGAGGTCCTTATGTGTGTTAAATGGGACAAAACATCCGTGTAAAGCTGTAGCATGAGCAGGGATTCAGTAGTCGCCAGAGAGGACTTCTATACTCTGACCCTCAGTCTCTACCATGGATCTGCACCAAATGGTTGTCTGCTCTGTGAGTCTACACCACCAGAAACTGTAACTCACCCCTTCCCCAGCGGGCATTTCCATTTTCAGGCAGCACTAAGCATTAGGCACTTTTTCCTTTAGCTGGGCCAACATCTTTCTCCCTGTGGTTTTAAACCAATGGTTTTGGCTCTGCCTACTGGAGCAAGAGAGAAAGTCCTGGAGTCCTTCAGACTAGTGAGATTAGAGAAGGGATTCCAGTGACAGGCTGGCTCCAGATTTACACTGTGCCATGACCGTAAATTCTAAGAGAGAGGTAATGCCGGACAACTTGGGAGAAAAACTGTCAAACCTGACTTAGTGTGACTCTGTGGTTGATGTCACTATAAGAAGGGGAAAAACGTCAATCCAGATTTCTCAAGGGAACACTGAAAACAGGGAGCCAGGAAACAGTTTGCTAACAAGGTTTGTGGGAAGCCCTTCAAATTTAATAAAATGCAGACAGAAGACCAGCTCCAATGTGGAGTTACTGGGTTAGTGGGTTTATCTGAGCATTTGCCCAAAGGCAAAACAATTATATTTATACTCAACACAAGAAGTTGTTTTGCCTCTCTCAAAATAAATTTCTGGATTGTTTGGGGAAAGGATGCCGATGATCACTTACAAACATGATAGAATTGTTCAGATGTGTTGTTATTGGATTGCTAAAAACAAGAAAAGCCTTAGAGACACTCAGAAAAAAGGACAGATAATCTTCTGAATTCCAGGTACTTACATCCACCTGCCTCCTGGTAGCGATGTAGGAACTTCACAGGTGTCTCAAATAAAGGGCCTGAGCCAGAAACCATGATACGACCCTGTTTCCCTCTGTTCCTCCCCAGCCCTCCCCACCTCAGGACACAGAACCACCAACCATCTAGTTATGCAAGTCAGTAACTGGGGTGCCATCTTTTATTCCCCTCTCTTCCTTACCCTCCACACCTTATCCAGCATCAAATCCTATTCACTTTTCCTCCAAAAGATGCCTTACATCTGGCCATTTCTCTATATTTGCACTCCATTGCCCTAGTTCTGACCATCACCTCTGACTGGCCTCCTTACTTCTATACTGCCTGTCTCCAATCCATGAGACACACAGCAGAGTGTTCTTTACAATATATAAGCTGAATGCTCTCATTCCTGCTTAGTGGTGCCTCAGTGCATCAGTGTCAATAGTCCTCTACATGATCTTCTATCTACAGGGCTACCACTAACCCATATGAAACCTTTATGTGAATCAACAAAGCACCCCTTACTTAGACAAATTCAGCCCTATGCCAGGCACAGTATTTGGTGAGCAGAGCACAGGCTGGATTCCAGTCCTGTTTTCTCCCTTGGCCTGTGCTACTATGCAGGTCTGTGGCAGCTCTGGACTTCAACCTGACTTTCACCACATGCCCCGTTTGATCACTGTGCTCCAGCCACACTGGGATAGGTAAGTCAACAACACAAGAAAGAAGGACATCAAATGCAAAACATTTGGAAAGACTGCAAGAAATAATTTTAAAAAGTAAATGGCCCACAAGATACCTTAAAAAACCCCAATCAAATACTATTTTTAGGTCGAAAGATGTGTTCTGAGTTATTAAAATATCAATTGTTCAAGCATTTTTTGCATGGTTAATTGATAGAGTCAAATCGTTAGTCATCTTAGGACAAAAAGGCATCATCAAAATACGGACTAATTTCTCCAAGTAAGAAAGCACACAAATTAGGTAGGCCAGGGCAAACTGTAAATTAAAGACAGAAGGATTTTAAAAGTACTTTTTAAAAAAGTTCTTTTAATTTATTATGGGGAAGAGGCCATTTTGAACATCCATAGAGTACCTTGATAAAGATGAAACAAACAGGAAACATTCGGGGAAGGAAGGGGTGTGGCTGACTGCTTGCATGGGTAGAATGTTCTGGTCTACCAGAATCAGGAAGCAAGGAGAACTTCTTACCCTTGAACTATTTCTTGGAATGAACTATTGTAGGTAAAGAGAAATAGGTGGAAGGCAGGAAAGTAAAAGCACTGTAAATAGAAGGGAGAAGAGTGATTGACTATTACTGGTTTGCATTTTAATTTGCACAACCTGAGAAAGAAGCAAAATAATGAGCTTCAGGTGGCATTTCTAACACGTTAAGGAAGCCGCAGTGAGATGCTTGGAACCATCTCTACGTGCTGACACTGCAGCAGAGAGAGAGGACCCTGCTGGTTCCTCCACGATCTGAATATCTTGAACAAAATGAGGAACCCACAAACACGATGGTTTGCTTAAGCCAGTACATTACTTATCATGAGAAGATGGATTCATGTCAATGTCATGTTTATGTATTTTTCACATGTTGACAGGAGCTGATTATTTAAAATTCTTAGATGGCAGGACTTCTGTTTATGTCAAATAAATGAACTTAGTGGTGATGCATACAGAAAAATATGAACTGCTTTATCCAATAATTAATGGTAATTTTGATAATGAGGAAATTCTGATTTTTAAATAAAGAAAAACATAAGAGCTCGAGAGTTACATGAAGTAAAATTACTTATCTGTGTACACATTCTAGGTTTAATTCTTTTCGCTTTTTATTTATCCATATTCTCCTCTAGCTTAAACTCTGTCTCCTTGATGAATGCCTCCTGATGCTTCCAGGGCATTCTTAGAATGTTAATTTTTTAAGTCCGATTTTATTTGAAGTTGAGCTGCATAATTAGTGTTTTATAATATGTGTCTAATTCTGATGTGCAAAGTAATGTCTTTTCACTAATTATTTTCCAGGTGAGATCTTTCTGGTTGATTTGAATATCATTTTCTAACTTGCCATGGAGTCAAATATCACATTATAACATAATCACTTATCACTTGATGATCCCTTTAAAACCAAGAGAATTTCAGATGTCAAAGTAGAAATAAAAGCATTTGCTAAAACTTGATGTATACATACCATTTAAAAAAGAAATTATGCTATTTTCCAAATAAAAACAAATACTGGTAGAAAAGTAATATTTAGGATTATTTCTGAATTAATTACTGAATAAATATATTATAAAAGTAAAAAAATTATAATTTTATATTATATATTATAATATAAAAATATATTATATATTATAATACTCAGAATTTTTAGTAAAAATAGCTAAGGAATCAAGAATATATATTGAAGTCCTCCCAAGAGCTGTGTAAACTTAGGACCAAAAGAGAGAATGTTCACTGTGTACCTCTGAGTATACAAGCTATGAAATACAGTGTAGGACATATTTCATTCATTAACTCATTTAATTCTTACAACCCTGGGAAAAACATATAATATTATTCCCACTGTGTAGAAAGTAGTCTTAGAGAGGTTAGTACTTTCACCAAGACCGTAGAGCTAATATGAGGTGGAGAGGGTATACACACTCAAGTGTTTTTGGTGGATCCATAACTCAGGGTGTTTAGTTTTCCCAGATAGCCTGTCTTATACTTATACATGGAATAGTGATTAAGGGCAAGGATTAGGTATTCACTTAGTTTCAAAATATTTGGAGCCTCTGGTCATGATTGTGGAATAGGTAAATGTAGTACTTACATCCTCCCACAACCACATCAAAATACCAACCAAACCACAGAACAACTATCATTCCGAACTGACTGAAATCTAGCTGAACAGAGGTCCTACAACTAAGGATTTAAAGAAAAAGGCACACTGAGACTGCTAGGAGGAGTATGGATGTGAAATGGGCTTCTTCTACACTGATGCAGTGAATAAAAATTAGGAAGGATATCTCAGCTGCAGAGGTCCCCTCTGAGGAGAAAGGGGTCCCAGCCCCCCACCAGGCTCCCCATCTCATGGTTCCAATGCCAGGAAGAGAAGTCCCCATAACTTCCGGCTCCAAAAAACCAGAAGGGATTGTGGCTGAATGAGACGGAGTACAGTTGGAATCACAGGCATTCTTCTTAAAGGGCCCTCTCAGACTTATTTGGACTAACCTGCTCTGACCTCCAGCACTGGGGCATTAGCTCAAAAGGCACCAGGGATATATGGGGAGAGATTGAATTGTTTGGCATCAGGCTGAGAGCTGGAGGGTGGCTTTCTCCCAGACAGAAATGCTGGCAGATGCTATTGTTCCTTTTCTGAGCCCTCAGCCCACAAAGCTGGCAGGCAGGTGCCATATCTGAGTCTCCATCAA